CTGCCAATCTTGGACCACAGAGAAAGCAAGGCGATGGCCAGAGCGACATCCTGGTGCGGCACGGAAGCCTGAGATGCCACGCGAGAGCCGACGACCGAGAAAGCACCACCGGCGCCGACCATGATCAGTGAGATGACCATTGGGGCGGTGGAGATGGTGGCCCGGGGACCATCGATCATGATGCCTATGCCGATGATCTTGATGCAAAGGCCGCAAATTTGCAGCATCTTGTAACGGTGAGTCCATCGCTGGAGCAGACCTGCGACCATGCCAAAGACGCAGAGCGCAAGTGTCAGCGTGTTGTTGTAGTACACCCAGTCTTGTGAGGACCAAGGTTTCGCAATGTAGACGTAAGATGACCAGTACAGCCCGCGCATGTTGCCGGCCACTGAAAGATGTCAGAGAAAATGAACCTAGTGGTGTCTTAAAAAGAGAGTTTGGTACTTACACATGTAGAAAGAGTCAATAAGAATGGCCATCAAGAATGTCTTGTTCATGACCAGTCTACGAGGTGCGCTTGGGACCTTGGCCCATTTGATCTCATAAACCGCATACGCGATGAGCGAAATGCCTCCCACTACCATCATGGCAATGAGCGATTGATTTCTCCAACCATGTTCGGCATAGGTCTTGAGACTGAATGGCAAAAGTAGCAAACTCCAGCCGAAGCCCAAGAGTATCAGACCAAGCGCATCGATCTCGACCAAGTTGTGCTTGAGGCCTTCCATCCAAGTGCCAGCCGGCTCAGCAGCTGGAACCACAATAGCACCACGTGGCCCATCATAGCCCTTTTCATCAGCCATCTCTCTCGCAGCACGGCGCGCCGCGTTCGAGGAGGCGAGGTTAACGATGCCGTCCTTTTTCGCCTTCCTGTCGAGGTACAAGAGCGTTGCGATCGCAGGGCCAAGAGCAGCAGGCATGATGATGGCAAACATGCCGTAGCCCCATCTCCACTGATTTCGAGCTTGCATCGCGTCAACGATCTTGCCGGCGAACCAGGTGTTGATGATGAAGGGAGCCGAGAGCAGCGAGCTGACGAAGCCACGCCATTCCAAGGGGGTCAGGTCAGCGACGATGATGTCGTTGGTGAGATCGAGGCCGGAAGAACCGATGGATACGAAGACTTCGCCCACGACGTAGGCTGAGATTGATGTGCTCGAGGCGGCGATAACGTATCCGATGACGTAGAAAAGCAGAGTGACGATGTAGGTGTACGGGCGTGACGTGATGTCAGAAATCTTGGCGATGAAGGGTTTCGAGACGGCCGAGATAATGCTCGTGGCGATCGAGAGGGTCGATAGTACGGACGAGTGCTGTTTGTAGTAGGACGAGGCGTCGATGCTGTAGTAGGAGGTCGTCGAGCTATCAAGGGAGTAGGCCCAGGCGCAGACGAGGACGGAAAGTCCGACGAGGTAGAGGGAGATGCGGTTCTGTTTGGCTTCGCGGTAGACTGCCTCCATGCGAGTGACACCCTGTGATTGTAGTATCTCCCCGACAGAAGAAATCTGAGGCTCTTCACGATCTGTTGAGGGAGAGATTGTGCCATCTTTGGGGATGTGGACGTCGTCTGACAAGACACCCGACTCCTTGGTGTTACTCATATCGAGGATTCGCGAATCGCAGCACGCGACCTTGGCTGGATGAGTGAGAGATGAAAATCTGCTCGGATGAGGATTGAGGTAGTATTAGACTTTGTGGCAAGAGTCATGAGGGATATATGTATATGTAGTCTCGTAAGAGCTAGCAAACGTCCTCTCCTCAGATGTACCTCACTACAATACTTGCCGCGCTGCTCCGGTTAGCTGTATGACTTGGTACCTTGGGCAAAATAAAAATCTGGTCCAAAACTAGAAAATTCGCAGCCGCCGTTGAACAAGGGAGGCAGGGATCATCGGGACCCACGATGCTGGTGGTGTGTCTAAGTCGAGATTATTCGGAACTATGTACTTACGGATCTGGGCATAAATGCACAAGAGTTCATGGTAGTGCGCCTCGAAGGAGCAGCGCTAAATGGGCCCTCTCTTTTGCCAAATCTAATCAGATGGATCCATCATCTTATCTTTTCCCATCGTGGGCAAGTGAACTCGGCCGGGGAGAGGGGCCTGGTGCGGAATTCCGGGACTAACATCGAGCTAGCCCGGCGAAGGAACGAATCACGAAGGATCGTAGAAAAACTTGACAAAGTGAATTTACCATCGGCGGGATGATGGAGAACATTCCCACTTGGTGGCCTGCGATCTTGGGAAGGCAACAGTCCAGAACCATGGGCTCGGTCACCTTCCAGAGGCTGATTTGTGCTGCTTTCTAGTGGTCAGTCGTCCACGCCGTGCCCTGGTTTGAGTGAACGGCAACCAGGGGAACCAAGTCTCTCGAGGGGTAAAACGTGGCGAGACAAGGCCGTATTCCCATTTCATTTCCGATTTAGTCCACTTTGCTTCTCATTCTTCCTGGATCTCAGTAAGCAACCAGTTGCCGCGTAAGTCACCGCGGAGAAGTCATCATCAACGTGCCAACATGTACTTGTATCACCCGGTCGACTGATGCGACCTTGAGACACAAGTTTGCCTCCAATTCGTTCCATGTATGGGGAATTCCGCAGGATCGCACGATAGAAGTTGAAGTTCAAGGCCTTGTTCGTTGCTGATGAAGAACAAGACTCAGCCAATGACAAGGACTTATTGTTGTGGAGTCGTGATGAATTCCTTTAATGTGGACGAGTTCTCTACTTGGTCCGAGTTAACGAAGCTTGCGACCTCTTGAGCCTAGTCTATGAGCTCTTTCAGATGACCGTACGTCACTCAGCTCGTCTCTATTTCGAGGAGTTTTGGGTGCTGCGTTATTCTAGTCAACAATTAACTTTAAGATTCATAAAAGTAAAAGCTCCGCCCAAACTAGGCCTTTGATTTGGTGAGTCAATATCATCCGCTTTCTCGACATCAATTTGACTTCACTTGCCTGCCCACCACTACCGACGCGGGCTGTCCGGTGCTTATCGATAAGCCCGAATCTTGTTCTATCGCTCTTCCGCTCGAATTTGCCATGGTGAAGCCGACCCGTATACGGATGTCGGGGTCAAGGCACAGTCGATGAGTTGGCCAATTGGAAAAGTGAGAGCGTTCTTGAGTGTGTCCTTTTTCCCCCGTTACGTTCGCTTATTGGGTCCTGCGAGGCAATGAAAAATATCATTACAGTAACATGTGCGGGCGTCTCTCGGCCCTAAAGCGTTAGCAAGGCGGTCGAGGCATTGGTCGTGCTTGATGGTTTTGTGAGTATCCATTATCGTCACCACGCCGATTCAAGTCGTCTACTTATCGAAAGGATGCCTTTTAATAACGGATCTATGGAAGTATCAAGCCGCGTAAACAAGGCACCCTCAACTGCCACTACGAGTTGTTAGCCGGACGTTTCCCCGGCACGCCCAGTGCCAAAGGTAGACCGCACAGCATGAGGTGTGACCTGTGCGCTTGTGTCACTTTGTCGATCAGGAAGGGGAAACATGGGCAAGTCATCTGAACAGGGAAGCGATATTATGTAGAACCTTAGAAACAAGAAACAAGACGACAGAGAATACGTCAACTTTTCTAGGAGAAAGATTATTATAAGATGGATGATGTGGCACATGTTGACAAGCTCAACTTCAGCTCAACTCTGTGATTCTAGGTTGAGAGTAGTCAAACGATCTCAACGTGGCGCTACTCCCTCAGACTTATTTGGCGGATTATTTAGGCTCAATTCTCCCGCATCAAAGATGCTACGCAGACATCCGTCATTGAGTCAAGTGCCGTGGGAGCCCCCACAACCAGGGCGCTATAACAGATGATTCTCCCTCCCCTCACTTTATTCCAGCAAAGAAGGTTTTCTCCAACTAACATAGTTATCTCATCTTGAACAAGGGCACCCTTCTGAAACAGGCCACCTTGCCTGGAGGCAATTCTCCCCTTAATCAATCTGGCGGCCCCCAAATTCACCCTTTCAAGTCCAGTACATTCCCTAGTCGAATGTTGTCATCCGAACCATGCGGAGACTGGGGAGATTCGAGAACATGAGCGGCCAGCACTGCCGGCACCCCTGACTGCTGAGGAGGATGAGCCGACTTCACGTGGTCATCCGGAGCCAAACTCTCCGTACGATCTTCATAGCCTAGGCTGTCGCCTGTTCAGCTTTGTGCAGCAAACCCCGAAGGTTTGCCCAATCCAGCAAACTCGCAGGTCCCAACGGCTCGGCGCCAATGCACTGGGCCGTGTTCCAAGCATCATCCCCGCCAGACGAGCCCCGGCGGCAGTGTATCTCACACGGCCGAAAAAGTAAACTCAGAGGCTCAGAAAGCTCGGCACGGAGAACCTCTGCGATTGTCCCGACATTCTGGGGGATTCACCTCTAAGATGAAGGACCGGTGCGTTTCCGGAACCCTTGGACCATGCTTGACTGGTGCGATTCGTCAATTAAGGGACAATAAACTTCGGAGTTGAACACCAAGTCCCCAGCTTGGCGCAATAATTGGTGATGTATAAGAGGGGAGACATGTTCATCTTGATGTAAGTCACCAGGAAGATTCTTCATCACGTACCACTTAGCCAGGGTCTTACATTCTTTTCTCATTCACCCCATTCCCACGCTCATTATTTCAAAATGGTTGTCGCTCACCTTCTGCTCGCAGCAGCGCTTGCGCCGGCGGCACTAGCTACTCCCCTCAGGCTGCGCGATGTCGCATCCTACGAAGGAAACCCGCTGGCGGACAGACAACTCTTCCCCAACCCCTACTATACAGATGAGATTACGAATCTCGCCGTCCCTAAGCTCACCGGCGATCTTGCAGCGAAGGCAGCCAAGGTCGCCGAGGTGCCCACATTCGCATGGCTGTAAGTGTTATGAGCCAGGCCACATGGCCATCATACTTGACGAGCGACTGCTGACAACCGCAGTGATACACGCGAGAAGATTAGTCTGATGAACAGCACCCTGGCGCAGATTCGCAAGCTGAACCAGGAGGGCGCCAACCCGCCTTACGCTGGCACCTATGTCATCTACAACTTCCCGGACCGTGATTGCTCTGCGAAGGCCTCCGCTGGCGAACTCGTCATTGCTGACGGTGGCGTCGAGAAGTACAAGAAAGAGTACATCGACCCTATTGCCGCGCTCGCTAAGGAGTACTCAGATGTTCGCCAAGTCTTCGTCTATGGTAAGTTCCTGGGACGTTATCTGGGGCTATACGTCTATGGCATGCTGACGACAAACAGAACCTGATGGGCTGGCCAACCTCATCACCAACATGAACGTGGCGAAGTGCACTGGCGCAGCGGATGCGTACAAGGAAGGCACCGACTACGCCTTCAAGACCCTCAACCTCGACAACGTCGCAATCTACGTGGATGCGGGCCACGCAGGATGGTTGGGCTGGGAAGCGAACCTGAAGCCCACTGCCGAGCTGTACAGCGAACTGTACAAGAAGGCCGGCTCTCCCAAGGCAGTTCGTGGCTTGGTCACAAACGTGTCAAACTACAACGGCTGGAATCTGACGAGCGCTCCGGCGTACGCAGAGAGCAACAAGCAGTGGGATGAGTCCAAGTTCCACGCTGCGTTGACGCCGTTCCTCAAGGAAGCTGGGTACCCGGCAAACTACCTCGTCGATCAGGGCCGCAGCGGCAAGCAGCCGACGGGACGCCAGATTTGGGGTGACTGGTGCAACATTAAGGAGACTGGCTTCGGCACGAGACCGAATGTCAAGACTGGCATCGATACCCTGGATGCCTTTGTCTGGGTCAAGCCCGGTGGCGAAGCTGATGGCACGAGTGATTCGACTGCGGCTCGGTATGATGAGAAGTGCAGCTCTGGATCTTCCGTGATTCCGGCCCCGGAAGCCGGAACCTGGTTCCAAGAGTACTTTGTGCAATTGTTGGAGAATGCCAACCCCGCGTTCTAGATGACAACAGTCGAGCCTAGTTACAGGGTGTAGAGGTCATTCTATTTTCCTTTCTTCGTACTTCAATAGGGTCCAGGAGTTTAGCGAAATGCGTAACTGCAACTTGTCCACTGCACTATCTTCATCAGGTTGCGCGAACCTTGACTTTCCATCATACACTTTGACCTGGAGTTATGCAGATGCCTAAGCTTCGTTCAGCGTTGTGGGGGCTAATATGCTGGAATTAGAACTTTAAGATGGTGACTCCGACGTGGGGGTGGGCATCTGTTTTGCCTCTTCAGCTCGAGCCAGAGCCTCTCCAAGTTTATCACCTCAAGCTGGCAACTCGTCCAAATAGGAAACTTACCAGATCCGGACCACAAAAGTCAGCGGCACCAGCAGACCAAATAGAGACCGAGATGGAGCGGCTAACCGCAACGTCTATCGAGTTCAAACACCAAAGAGAAGCTCGATGGCGCGCTTCGGCCCCGCATGCCCCAGCGGAGCGCCTGCAATCTCGCCCCTTTTGGAATTTGCACCGCCTAGGCCCGAGCTTCAACTGGGAGTTCCACCAATCGCATTGAACAGCACGTTGGCCGAGTATGGGGAATTCAATGTACTGCAAACGCAGAGTGACGAAGTCTTTTTGATCAAGAGCCCCTTGGTGCCGAACTCTCTTGCTCTTGGTCAACGGGTGGAAGGGGGAGCCAAGCCGCCAGTATAATATGTAAAGCACCACGCGTCCCACGCGAGCCGGCCGTCTGAACTGTTCACCTGTACTATTCACAGTCGTCCCGTCTCTCGTTGGTGTTCCCTGCACGGTTTCTCAACCTCTCATTCGCTTCTCATTCTTCCTATTCACTATCCTTCTTATTGTTGATACTTTGCTGGTACATAACGTTACAATCCCTGGCCCAAAATGAAGTCCTTCACCCAAGCCCTTTCCCTGGCAGCCGGCCTGTCCCTGTCCTTTGCCAGTCCCACTCCGGCCGTCTTCCCGAGACAGACCAACAGTTCCAAGAACCTGATCGTCTTGTAAGTCACCTGCGTACCCGTTTCGGTGGAATGATAAGAGAAGAAGAGAGCTCCATCTGACTCGGATACTCTACCTGCAGCGGCGACTCTTACTCCACTGTCGGCTTCTGGCCCGGCGGCACCCTCCCGGCTGCCGGAAACCCGCTCGGCAACCCCTCCCTACCCGGCCAGACCACTTCTAGCGGCTTGAACTGGGTCGGCCATCTCACGAGCACCCTCAACACATCGACCATCTTGACCTACGACTTTGCCGTGACCGGCGCCACCACCGATAAGGATATCGTCGACACTTATGCCCAGTACTGCGTCGACGACCAGGTGGATCAGTACAAGCAGTACGTATCTAGCGTCGTCAACAAGGACAACGCCCTCGTCGCCGTCTGGATCGGCATCAACGATGTCGGCGAGCCGTTTTGGGACAAGGTGTCTGCGCCTGTCACCAAGATCATGGACCGCTACTTTGAGCTCCTTCAGACTCTTGCCGATGACGGTCTGAAGAACTTTGTCCTGCTCTCCGTGCCTCGTATGTTACACCCCGAAACCAACCTCCTCTTCAATGTGTTTGGCCCTAACACACCCCTGCCAGCCTTCTCTGATCAGATTCCTGCCATGATCGGCCAGTCCGAGACTGACCTGACCCGCCTGCGTTCCGACATCACGTCGTACAACGCCGCCCTCGAGACCCGCCTCGCCACATTCAAGTCCGCCAATAGCGGCGTCAAGGGTCTCGTCTTTGACACCAAGCCCTCGTTCGACACCGTTGTCGAGAACTTTGCGCAGTATGGCGCCAAGGATGCTACCTGCTACGGTTCTAGTGATTGCATCTGGGCCGACAACTACCACGCCGGCCTGGCTATCCACAAGCTTCTCGCCCAGAACCTGGTCAAGGGTGTTGCCGCAAACTTTGTCTTCTAAATAAGGTAGATACTTACATGTCAGGAAGATGGTGGACAGTAAATACAATTTTGAATGTAGATGAGCACTCACAGCTCTCATTCACACTTACCTTGCTTCGACTTGCTGCATCCACTTGAACGTGAACCTGACTTACTCTTGGAACAGTTCCAGCCCGCAAGAGCATGCCCCCATGTCTTGGTGTTCATTGACCAAGAACAAAACAAGATGCTTCACTCGGGCGTAGAGCCACGGCAGTCGGGCAACTAAGAATAATGTCACAATAAAACAAAAAGGAAAACCAGCGGAATTCGAAACCAATGTCATGCAATCCATAGGTTCAAGTGTTTGGCTGATTAGAAGACCAAACGATGACCTAGCTTCATCGAAAAACGTATGTCGGGTTTAATATGTAGTGGTACAAATGCTAAAAGCCAATAAAGATCACCAGCGCGAGATGAACATGACTAGAAGCATCGTCTCCCGCGAGGGCCAGCCGGTCGTCGCCGTCAACCCCACAAATCCTGACGATATTGTCTTCGTGTCGACACGCTTCCATCCTCTACCTGAATTTGAGCCCGTTGGGTGTTGTTTTCTGACCTACACACTCGACCGCGGAATCACCTGGAATAACGTCACAGCGGATTACCCCTTAAGTGCCGCCCCGAAGTGCGGCGAGCCACAGGTCTCTACCGACGCGAATGGAACTTTCTACCTCCTCAACAACCAGGTTTTCTCTGGTTTGAAAAATAAAATGGCCGCTCATGCCCAGTTGTCTAAGTCCATTGACGGAGGCAAGACGTGGAGCGTTCCATCTGTGGCGCCGCTTCATATGCAAGGTGCAACAAAGCTGCGGGTCGACGTGGCTACGAGAAAGGTATACACAGATGGTGCATCATCTTGGGAATACCCAGCAGCTGTGTCTGTCAGCTCAGACAGTTGCGAGACCTGGGCTGCCTTCAATCAAACCCCCGGTCCCGTGGACGTTTGCCCGGACTATCAAATTCCAGACCTGCCTCCCATCTGTGGATTCCCCGGCAGATCCGTTGCAGTTCATGATGGAATTCTGGCTTCGGCCGCGCGGAGGGTTCAAACGGGCACCCAGAGATGTACGTGAGCCATGACGAGGGCGTCACATGGGAGACATTTCCCTTGGTTGATAGCCGGGGCAACTTCGTGGCAAACGGTACCGGCGCGATGCTGGCCAAGTCTGGCATTGGTCTTCCCAGTGATCCCACGCCGTGGGCGTCTGCAGACCCTGCCTCAACGGGTCATTTGGCCCTTATGGTTCCACGCGACTCTACGCTGGAGATTTACATCACGGATAACGCAGGTGAAAACTTCACAGGCCCAACCATCATTCAGACTCCTGATGCGCAGCGCCCTTCGACCTTGGCCCGAATGACCTCCTTGGTGTCATGTGGCGCACCAACTCGTCGGGTATTCTCGATGTTTACTCGACGGTATCTTTTGACGGCGGACGTAACTTTGCTGCGCCAATCAAGGTCACAGGACAGCCGCAGCCTGTTGGTCAAAATGGTCAGCCAGGCGACTGAGCTTCCTTTGTCTCGCTCACTCATACCTATGCTTACGTTGCCTGGTCTGACGGAAGCGATGGCTTACTGGACGCTGTTTCTGCTGAGGTGCCCCTGGATCTGTTTCAAACCACGCCTCAGGCTGCGGAGGTATTTGAAAGTATCAGAAGTTCCGATATGGCGGCTCAGAACCTGCGCATATGTGAAAAGAAGTATGTACAATAAGAGCCAATAGCCGTCTGCTGGCACTGATTAATATTACCACCCAAGATGAAACGGCGAGTTCCTACCCGAAGTCAATTGAAAGCCCCGGCTTGACATTTGCTCTGAGGGCAGTCGAACCCTTGTATCTTAATTTCCTATGGTTCTCTACCACATACACTTTGAAGACCCCAAACGCAATGAGCTGTTACGGGATTGCTCACTTAAGATGCCAGGGTAATAACGCCGGATGCTTTGAACCACTCTCACGTTTCGCCTGCCTTTGCCGCACAGGCTACAACCAATCACGTTTGTAGTCGGTCATATCTATTCGACTCCTACTTGCAATAATAAACTACATAATCAATGAAAAGCTTTCCCCAAAATCAGCTGTTACCAGTGCTTCACTGCTTCGATAATCATATTATCTCTTTAATTGTATTGCTTGCATTGTGCCCCTGACATCAAGAGCAAGGCTGCACTGTACAGCAGGCCCCAATGTTCTCCTGCTGAAGCAGTGTTGCCACAAATACGAGTCAGTGAACTCGGTCAAGGCTTGCTTTGAGACTGCCATCTTCGACGCCAATTCTCAAACTTGCCATGCTTCATAGAGTCTAGCGGTTTTGCAGGCCCTGGCTAAAGCTATCGAAGGCCACACCCATTGGCGATGCGCTATGGAGTCCCATGCTATCGCTCAGTTGATTTTCTAGAAGACCAATTCTCTTCCACTCTTCTAGCTGCCGCTTGTAGCAAGCCGGGTTTCGTTAATGGCACTAAAACAGCTAGACAAAGAACATGCCGAGAGAAAGTTATTCATTCAGATCACCAGACAAAGGAGCAACCACCTTACAAAGCGACATTTATGGTCTCCCTGGATTCGTTCCCGGGTATAACAGTAAATTGGTCTATCACTGGCATAAAAACATTAACAACAGCGAGAACGAACCGTTTAGGATCGGGGCAAAGACAGCACCGCAACAAACTGGGAAGGGTTCTTTAAATAGCCGCATACTCGTCGTAAAGCCTATGATAATAGAGGTACTATAGTAACCCTATAGCCCTAAAAGTAATTAAAGCTTACTGATTAATAAGAGCACACTCTTGAACTTAGCAAATACCTCTACGTAGCAATTAAATGTATTAATAACTTGATTGCTGGAAAAGCTATGGAAGTCTGTTCTTGAGCCCGGCTGAAGTCCACCCTATGTGTAAGTCCTGATCCTGATTATATCCTTCGTAATGCTCTGTTCGCTATTGTGCGACCGTTCACCGAACAGTTATCCGTCCTAGTTGTTTACGATTGTCCGTCTTACTTATCTATGGGCGTTCGTTCTGTATCTTATCGTGTGATTGTAGTTACGTTATTTATCCTACAATTCTTCCGTTCCCGAGAGGAGTTATCTAGGTCCCGCACCCCTGTATATATAGTGTGGTAGCCGCCGCAGGCCTTGTGGGCCAGGCCCTGGCTCTGTAATGCACGCCGGGTCCTAGCAGTTGACACTTGTACTTTTTTTCAGACGGGCACTGCAGGCTCAGTCTTCTTTCTGTGACCGTCAGAGCCCTGCTTAACCGACTTCCATTGGAAGAACAGGCAGCAGATGAAGGCACAGGCAGCACAAGCTAGGGTGATATAGAATGTGTCTCGGAGACCCTTCATATACGCCTTGAGGATAGTGTCAAAAGCATCTAGTCGACCCATTCTGCGGAGTACACCCTTGACCTCCGAGGCACCACTGTTGATGAAGATGGTAGGGTCAATCCCGATGCTGTCGTCGTTGATAGTGTCAATGAGGCCGTTCTGCAAGACAGTTTGGGCAACAGCAACAAAAAGAGCCCCCCCGAGAGCTTGGAAGAACTGGACCGCGGCAGTACCAACAGGAACCCATTCCTGAGGTAATACAGTCTGCACGATCAAGACACCAATTTGGAAACCGGCGCCAAGTCCAAGGCCCGCGATGACCTGATAGCCAAACCACTCCTTCAGGGGCGAAACGACGTCGAGGGCGGTGAGCATCCCACTACCAACTGTAAATAGAATCATGCAAGGGATGATGACAAAGTTATAGTAGCCGACAGCAGTAATGACGCCCCCCGAGACGATAGCGCTGATAACGGTTGAGAGCAAGAGAGGTAAAATCTTGATTCCAGCCTGGACAGCGCTCACACCCTGAATGGCCTGGAAGTAGAGAGCTAGGCTGCGTTAGCAGAGCGCCCCATGAGAAGAACAACAGGAAACATACAGAGGTAGTATATAAGGGGAAAGAAGCCGGCCCCAAAGAACATAGCGAAGAGCATTGCCAATAAGACGTTGCGGTTTTTGAATAAACGTGGGGGCAGAGTTCCTTGGTCACCTTTCCAGAACTGAATGGCGATGAAGATGGCGATCATGGCACCGAAGCCACAGAAGAGACCGATAATGCGCGAGTTGCTCCAGGGATAATCGGCACCCCCCCACTGCAGGGCAAGAAGCAGACAGATAATGGCAGGGGTGAAGATGGCGGCACCAGCAAGATCAAGTTGTCGGACACGTTTTATGAAGGGCATGTTGCGGGACTCGGCCGAGTTACGATTAACATGGACGAAGAAGAAGACGATCAGCATGGCGAGGCCGCCGATAGGAAGGTTGATATAAAAACACCATCGCCAGGTGGCATGGTCGGTGAAGGCACCTCCAAGAAGAGGCCCTGCAACGGATGCGATTCCCCACATGCCACCAACCAGACCAAAGGCAAGGGGACGCTTCTCCAAGGGCACTAAGGGAACGTTAGTGGGGCTCATGTTGGTGATGTAGACCGTGGTGTTTGAGGTGACATACTGATCAGGGAGATAATGACAATGGATCCGGAGAAAAGACCCGCGGTTCCAATCTGAGAAGCTCAATCAGTAGGAGCACAAGAACTGGTCCATTGGATTAAGGATAGCATACTCCAGCAATGGCACGACCGACAATGAAGACGACTGAGGATGGCGCAACGGCAGAGATCAGACTGCCAATTTCAAAGACGAAGACGGCTGTAAGGTAGGCAATCTTCACATTGAAGTGCTTGTAGACAGCTCCGTACATGGGCTGGAGAGCTGTGGTGGTGAGCAAGTAAGAGGAGCCATACCAACCCTGAGACCTGTTAGCGGATTTCTCTGCTGGAAGCTTTTCGATAAATAGCTCACAATATCCTTGACACTCTGGAATTGTGCCGTGATTGCACCCAGCGCAGGAGCAATGATAGTCTGATCTAGAGCAACGAGGAAGATGGCAAGGCACAGGGAAAAGATAACCAGGGCAAGCTTGGCAGTCGAAGGGTACTCGGGCTGGTCGTTGTTGGCCTGATCAACACCAGAGACAGAGCCTCCAGTGGCGGAGCCGGCGCGCTGCTCGACGTTGGCGTTGGCCTCGGCCTCGGACTTGGCCTGGGCGGAGAGATCGACAATGTTGGAGCCGACTTCGGTCTTGTCATCCGACGAGAGACGTTTCTCGTCGAGGACGAGGGCTGTGGTCGCTGCAGCGTGAGTGGTTGTGGTCATTGTGGAGTTTGCAGTCAATCGATTCTTCGGACGGACGCAGCTTTCGGGGGAAAGGAAGTTATCTGTCTTATCACAAGCTCTTCCTCTCTTTATGTGTCTCTCTTTGTCTAGAGCTGGATCTGGGCGCCGTAGGCGAGTTTGATTTGATCGCCCGATCCCTTCTCGAGGGAGTATTTGATCCTGGGTTGAATACCTCGAGAAGCTCTAAAGCACAAATGGAACAAGAAGAAAAGGGAAAAAAGATGGACGGACCAAAAGATTGTTAAACAAATACCTACGTCAGTCCCGGGGTTGAGACGTGGGCTCGTTGCATCCGGAGAAAAAAAGGAAGAAGAGAGGACGCTAGCGGACAAACTACTTAGGGATGGTCATTATTGTGCGTAGTGTATTCTCTAGAGAAGAGCGGCGGCTGATTCAAATGACAAGTTACGAGGAAGGGTAACAGCTTGATCGCATCCTTGTCTGTTGTGTGTCGTATCTTGACGGAGTAACTCCCTAGTCACTCGAGGATCTACCTAGCAGTACGTGGGGGGCTAGACTGGTCTGCCGTTGAGTTTTGACTCTGAGTCCTAGTTCATGCCGCCGTGGACTGCGGGCCGATCCGTTGGATGTACTGGCAGTATATGTTTTCTTTTTAAACTTTCTTAGTCATTTTACATCTGTTTAACCTATGTAGATGATAGCCTCACACTCCTGCTACCAACCCCTTGCTGGTTTAGTATATCTTTTCCAAGCCGAATTCTTCCTGATCAGTAAACTAAACTAAGGAGAAGCGCACCAACCGGCTGCTCTTCCCCTTTCCCCTTTCCGCTTTCTACTTTCCCTCTTTCCAACGTCTTTTCCCGGTCGTCGACACTTATCTTTGTTGCATTATTTTGAGACCACACCCACACCCTTCTCGGCATGATGTAGCTTTTGTCTAGTGTAGTGTAGAGTTTACTAGACAATGGTTATCTGGCTAATGTTGCGGCCTGGTTCAGGCAATATATTGACGAAGGGGCTGGCTGGATTGCCGGTCGGGACCTTTGGCTTTAATGTTGGGTTTCAATGGCTGGACCCATCACCCATTGATCCCCCGACAATTGTAACACGATGAAGTTCTCTCGAATAGGCTTAAGGGACCAAAATCACTCCATGCTGATGGTACTATTCTGGGCTCGTGCAATGTGTTGGCCCCCTTGTGTCGGCACGGCGAAGGGCTCTGTTCGATGGAACAAAGCCGGTTTAAGCTTGCTGAGGTAACCCGCCTGATAAAGCTAACCTACAAACCTACAATACCCAGTGAACTCGCCATCTGCCAGTAGCACATCAAGTTCTTCTGGCAGCGTGCCAATGACAAGCTCGATACCACCGTCCTCGCGCAGTGGATGTATAACCAACATCCGGAATGCCGCGTTGATAGCATCCATTTGCACGCGCATTGCAGACGGCACACCGCCATCATCCAGGAACTCGTCGCCGAAAGAGATAGCATTCGTCTGGAAAAGCATCAAATTATTAACGGCGGTGTGCATCCCCTCCATCCCCATGCACGCAGTAGTCACCTTGGTGTAGTCCGGCACTGACTGCAGCAGCGTGAATGCATCATGGACTAATGAAGGTGTGATGTGTACAGCAGCAGCGCGGAGCACCTGTGCAATCTGCGCCACTGTTGTTTCTGTGCCGCAGAGCGTAGCCACCGGCATGCTCGGCCGGTTGATGACAACGAGATTGCCCATGTACGACTCTGGCAGCAGCTTTGAGAAATACGGCCTGGCATCGATAGGCAACTCAACGATGGCCATTTCATCCGTTTCAAAGGTCTCGTTGCGCAGCTGTGTCGCCACATGGTGACGCGCTTTGACGGCCGCTCGCCAAACGAATGCTTGGATCATGTCGCTGTCCGAGATGAGGCCCCCGGCTACGGGGTCAGTCAGAACGTCTTGCCGGAGCTGCTCAACCATTTCGGCCGGAATGATAAAGGTGGATGAATCCAAATGCCGGCCGTCGGCAGGGGGGATCGGCGGCCATTGAGTGTTCCGGGGGAAGAACGGAGCCGGAGGGAGCGGCGACTCGGTGACGAGGTTCTTAATTTCGGTCACGCACTCTGTCCCTGTCTCGGCCGGATCCGGGATGTCGATGAAGCCCCATACGTTCTTGTCTACATGGCCTGCCGGTTTCGCATACCCCTCCATCTCGTATAGAATTTGCGGAAGATTACGGTTCAAACTCTCTTTGTCCAGCCAGGCGCACGTCGCCGAGGCATCGCCTTGCACATAACGACAGCATTCACCCCAGATACGCATCACCATAATGGTGCCTGTGCCGTCAAAGCATTGGTGGTGCATGTTGATGGCCAAGATACAACCACCAGTGATAAAGTTGGCCTGTGCGATGAACACGTCGGCTGGCAGCGGCGGCAGCAACGGGCATGAAAGTACGACGTCATCCGCAAACCCTGAAGACGCGAAGCCACCGGCACGAAGCTCCGCAAAGGACGGGAGCACCGCCGAAAGGTCTTGATAACGCAGCTGTTGTGGCCCGGACGACTCGGTCTTGTGGTTCGCCGCCGCCGTACAAGGCACCGGGGGAAGCGAAATGCGCATGTCACCCTTCTTGTACCCTATTTCGTCCTTCGAACAGGGCATCAGCTTACTCTCTAGCTCCGGAATGAGTGTCATGGCCCGGTGCAGCCCTGCCTGTAATCGTGCAAACACGTCTTCAAAACGGGCGCCCTCGCGGAGCTGGTAGAAAAACTTCATGCCCAGATATATGTTGGGGCTCATCTGGTCAAACGGGCTGACTTTTTGCGAGAGACGCGTGCGGTGCAAATTGATCATGCGGTACATCTCGGCCACGTTGCCTGCAACCGCTTCATTCGAAGCTGATCCGTCGGCCGCCTTCCTGTGCATGTCGGCCACCAGCTGGGCCAACGTCGCCGAGAACTGGCGGAGTGTAGGGCTGCCGTAGAGATGCCTTGGGGCCAACAGGTCACGTAGCCCGGTGGCTACGCGGAGAGTCTTGATAGCACGAAAAACGAGCAGCGAGTCGAAGCCCATAGCGAAGAGGTCATCGTCGGGTGTGGCCTTCTTAACAGCAGGCGAGAGACTGCCTAAGACGTGACGGACGGCATCGGTGATGGAAGCAATAGCACTGGTGTCTATAGCTAAGAACTGGGTGTCTTGATGCAACCGCGAGCTATAGAAGCGCTCGATGTAATCAGCATACGCCTCGAGCGTGGCTCGTCGCTTCACCGTCCCCTTATCAGTGCGGGAAAAAGGCGTATCTAGCTCAGCGAAAGCGACGTAATCCCTTTGCACCTGATTTTTGTGCAATGACAATGCGTTGGCGCGTTCAATTGCAGCCCAGATACTATCCCATACCTCGTTGTTCTTGGAAGTTGGTTCTTCAAGCTCAATTAGCAGACCTGCCTGAGGCTTGCCTGTTCCGATCTAGAAACGTTAGCTAGGTTTGATCAACATGTAGAACGGAATGACTTGCCATCAGACAACCCTTGATATCAGGATGCGTGGTGACTAAAGCCTCTGTTTCCAATGGTGAGATCTTGTAGCCATTAGACAACACAACGATGTCGTCATTGCGCCCTTTGTATGCCCATAGATTCGGCTTAGTAGGGTGCTTGGTGTATAGATCTTTAAGGTTGACACTCCTATCATCCGGGAAAGTGTGAAAGATACCTTGGAACAGGGGCCAGTGGTCGTTGCGATGTACCCAATGTTCATAGACGCCTGACTCTACTTCCTTGAACTCGAACCCGGAGAATGGGTGAAAGGCGAAATAGTACCAGTCTTGTCTTTCTACCCACAAATTCCCCATAAACAGGCCTTCTGTAGTACCAGTCAAGTTCAGAACTCGGACGACATCGTTTACTTTTGATCCGATGAGAGGGCTGACTGGGCCACCGGAAGCGCAGATGAATTTGGATTGCTTGAGCTTGACCAAAACATCGGGCGTTTCACCAAGCTCATCGACTAGTGAGGGAACCATGCTCCAAATATCGATCTCTGCATGGTCTGCAAGTGATTCTATAAGGTTCATGTTAGGCACTACACCTTGAGGGCCCATGATACAGTGTAGACCGAAGAGAGACGGCAGGAGAATGTTCATGATGATACCGGCGCCCTGTGAAGGTGATCTCAGTTAGAAGGAGGCTTTTGGTGTTACAGCGGGGCCAGAAATACGTGACTCATTGGAAATGATGAGTATATTCGATCCCCATCGATCCAATTGTTTGTCCATGGTGACAGCCCGTCATCTCCTTCGATATGTGGGAGCAGTCGCACAGCATCCATTGTGCCGATCAGGCCGTGGGACCATGCGATCGGCTTCGGAAGGCCAGTCGATCCGGAGGTATGAAGTACACAAAACGGGGTTTGAGAAGCTTCGTCAAACGACTTAGTATATGAGTACGATTCAGTTGTCTCGGCATTGAGCAGATCGTCCACTTCTGGTAAATGGAACACCTTCATACTGCGCTTCTGCAGGATGTCATCCACCAGAGGACATGAATACCCGCATGGGTTGACCCAGATGCTGCATTTTGCAGCTTCAAGCACTGTGAGTGCACCTTCGGTGCTGTTCTTGGGAGACAGAAATAGAGCCTCCATTGAATGCATTAGAAACGTGCGGCTAGGCTTGAAAAGCTTGACGTATTTCACTCACAGTGCAGCCAACCTTGACACATGCATACGTCAATAGAACGTGTCGGAGGTCATCTTCTGGAGTCAGTAAAGCAAGTATCCTGTCAGCAATAGGTTTCTTCACTTACGAGGCCCAATGTAAGCCACTGTCCGGACATCACTGCTTTCTCCAACCTGACTATGCAGCCACCAAGCGGTCTTGTCAACTGCTTTTGCAAAAGCTCGAGCAGATATGTCCTGGAACCCATAAGAGATATTCGAGGAATTTGCCACCGAGTATAAGATGCGGTGAGGTTCAACAGAAGCCAAACTGTCTAATATCTGGGGAATCAACCGCCGACCATATTGCTCTGGGACAGTCATTGTCGCAAGGTATCAGTATATTGTTTGGAGAGATGCGAGTATGAATTGGAGCTGTCAAAAAACGAGACCTGACGAGAAGGTGCTGAGAGTAGGATAGGAGAAGAGGAGCAACTTGCTGGGGGGATAACGAGGTCTCAGGCGTCCATTTGACGCTCACAACCCGCCTTTGAGCGTGAATAAAAGGCGTGAAAAGACGACCGGATCTATTGGTTACTCAGCATGATAATTCTGGGCTCAGCACGTTTGATGATTCGCCGCAAATCCTTGCTGTCTCCTGAAAGATCGACAACACTAAAAGGTGTAGTACTGGGCCTCAAATGGACGGCAGACGCGCATGGGTCGGATCAACGCCTCATATATGCCGCCGATGAGCTTGAAAGGCCAAACTTTCCTTTGAGTTCGAAGCGGCAGCCTCGTATCGAGAACACCGAATAGCGACAATACACTGTGAGGCGAGACGGGGACGCCTGCACATATATCACCATCGGTAGTCTGTGCTACTTCCGAGGGATACAACCTTCCTTTCGTCTGTAAACCGAGAACTGAGCCTCGCCTCGAATGGCAGCATAGATATCACCCCTGGTATTTTGGAGGCCCGTCCCGCTCAGCAGGGGTGTAAACCTTCATCCTTTCGTACCAGTCGAGAACTGCATGAGCTAGCAAAAGTAGCAAGTCGAAAACTAGGTGCAGAGGATTGAATTCGTGCCTTCCCTTGTCGTGTACTTGGGTGTACATTCAATTCAAGAGGGTAGCTCGGGAGATACGGGAAGTTCCGCTGCAGGCCTAGACGCCTGGCTGAGAATTGGGGCCTCGTGGAGGACTGCCGGAGCACTCAACTTCGAGCCGCGGTTCCTGTGAGTTTGGCCGCACCTCTGAGTGTCACCAGTCCCCGGTGTATTCGCGACACAATTTTACCAGATTGCCAGTAGCTCACGACTTTGGAGCCCTCTTCCACATGTCTGCAGACCTTCTTCAGATAGCCCATTATAGACCAGTGGCAGTGAAAGACTTTGGGCCGACTTGTCGAGAATGAACTGCATCTGTATGGCTGAGCATGTATTTAAAACCCTGAGCTCTTCTCTCAGTCCTACATCACCCCGGCCAATTCCTTCTGAATTAAATTCCCCTTCACACAATCTGTCGCTCAGTTCATGGATTCCGACTTGAGAATTTCGCTACACGGCAAAGATTTCGCTCACGCCACTGATGCGAATCCGAAGATGATATGGAAGAGGAATAAGACAGATGAGACGTCTGCCAGGATTCTTGCCATCATCTTCGAGTACGCCCTCGACAAGTTTGACAATTCCAAGGACCTGCATGCTGCCGGTATGACCAAGTTTTTGTCCGTCATCAATGGTTTCGTCACAGCAGATAAGCCGATTGATATGTGTCTCCCGGCATTTCCGTTCAAGTCGGCCAATAAAGCGGACAAAGTCCTCGGCTCCCTGCCAGACAAGGCCGAGGAGCTAGCCCTCCAGCGGCTTAACGCCATCTGTCTACGGATACGAGATATATACAGTCCGGGTGCTAGGATTACTATTATTTCAGACGGTCTGGTCTACAACGGTTGAGTTACCCCATCTCATATACTGGCTTCGCTAAGATGCCCTTCTTCGCAGACTTACTATGTATCCCAGACCGCGATACGTGGGCCTACGGCGAGGCTCTACGGGCTATAGCTGTCAAGCAAAGCTTTAACCGGATTAACTTCTCCTGCCTCAAAGAGCTCCTTGAATTTCCCCTTTCTGAGCGGATGAGCGAGATTGTCTACATTGCCAATGCGACCAACCTTCGCCGGTATCTTCTAAATAAATATGGTAAAGAGGACCTTGACATCAACTACGAGATTGCCACACAGCCTGATACCCTGATGACCTATTGTGGATATAGGAGGTTTCTTGAATCAGACTTGCAACACATCTTCCCAACCGGCAAGAATAGGTCTCATAACAGCTATAAGCGAGACATCAAGTACCTCGCTAGGGAAATGATGATCCGCGGATATGTATGTTCTGTACTATTTGGGCTGTGAAGGCCGCCTTGTTAGCGTACCGTACCTCTGATGCAGAACAGGCTTTTGCTGGCGCTATCAAGGCTGCTTTCCCCAACCATCTCCGCCTGTCTATCCATCATTCCACAGGCGAGCATAAGGTGTCTTTGAGTTTGCTACACACCGAGACGGGCTATACGACGCCGTGGCACTGCTGCGTCGCGCTCATGGCCAATGGGGAATGGCTGAGCGCCCCTATTAGCACATTCAAAGATGACCCATATTTTGATGTTATTTTTGAGGATGGACGGCCTAGTTATTTCCGTGAGAAGCTGTATCGGGATGAGGATAGAAAGTAGGAAGAGGGGAGCAGCACTCGATGAAGCCACTCAGCCGAACACAGCTCTGACTCACCTGGAGAGCTATGTGTCTCAGCCTGTGGAGATACATCAGGATTATGAACGTGTTACCTCAATTGACGTTGCTTTGTGTATTCACGCTCGTTTAGCGCCTTACCACCTGTACGCATGTAATGAGCCCAGACATCTCAGCTCTCCGGAGAGCCGAGGAAAGAATCATGCAGGCCACTTCCATAGTTGGAATCACTGAAAACGTTATTTCTACGCTTGGTTTAGCGCTGGTTCAGTGCGCCCCTCGGCAAGGCGCCGAAAACTAGGACAGGTCAAGTGTCAGGTGCCCCCCTCCCCCCCTCCTTTGCCTCCGGGGCAGCTCCGGGGGAAGCGCCGAAGCCCACTCGGAACGGGACATCACTTTCTCGGCGAACTGTTTCATAAAGATGGAATCTCCGCACCGTAAGAAAGGGGCTCGATTCGAACAATAGTCATAATTGACCCCTAGCTTGGTATCACTTGTTGACTCGAATACTCTATACGGACCCAGCCTCTCTGGCAGCAAGCCCGCTCGTCATTCAACGACGTTAACGTGTGCGAGTGATTGCTTAAAGAAGTCTACTATGTTGAGGGAGCAGCGACGACCTTAAGACTACTTGTGGGATAGTTGGACTTGCCTGCTCAGGATGTAATACTAGTACGGTAGTTTATTCGTCGTTGATTGAGAAAAGACACGGTTCTTGTTCAGTAGAATGCAACGCAGGCTCCTCTCGTGTAGATATAGATGTGTCTATCCTTAGAAAACAAGTAAGTGGAGTTTGTCTGACATCTGTTCGGAATGATTGTGCTTATGCTTCATCAGGCCCCGAATCAATTTGCATGAAAACCATGACCACCTGGAAATGCAAAGCTATTTCTCGGATTATGATGTACTCATTCGTCTCGGCTCATTTGCTCGAACAATTGGCCGATCCTGTGTTCGAATGGAGCAAGGGGGTGCTCCTCGCCGATTCCTAGATCGGCCAACTTGTATCGGGGGTTCGTCGTATGCATCGCCATATAGCCTCTGACACTGTCGTTCCAGGACTGTTCGTATATGCCCCTTCCCTTGAGGATCTGCTCAACCCGCCTCGCTGATGCTATTGACTCTCGGTTTACTTCCGCTACCACAGCCAGCACTGGCTTGCCAGTACACGTGGCGCGGTTATGAACATAGTTTCTCGTATCTCCGCCCAGCTCCTCCTTATAGAAACTGGAGAACGTTAGCAGCTTTCTCGAAATAATAACGCAGCTTACTTACGACAAGACGTCATTAGAGATATTAATAAAATTAGCCATGTCTGGGATTGCCTCTAGAAAGGCTCCGACATCCGGGTATAGCGCTTTGGGATAGCAAAACACAGCATAGGCCTGGTCCATGCCCGACATGTCTCGATAAAAGTCTGGGAACTTCTGCCCTGCCGGTGTGACAGGCATGTGTTGAAAACCGCTGTGTCGTTCCAACAAATTACTCGTCAGGAACTTGAGCACCGAGATCTGCAGCATGTTCGCTAGGACGGTGTCGAAGTGGTCATGGGCTTCGCGAAGAAGGCCGGCAATTCCCTCAAGTAGGTTGTTTGGCTGGGGCTCGCCTCGGAATAAACGTTCATGAAAAAGGAGCGCCTCCCCTACCATCTGGTTGCTTTGCCCTACGATATCATCGTACTGAACGACAAGCCACGTGAAGAGTCCGACGTATCCCTGGACTTCAACTGGATGCCTGGGATGGGCGAGCTGACTGATGTTAGAATCACATTGAAAAGAATAATACTGGAGCTCGACACACCAATCCTTCAGCATAACCCAGACGAAACCCCTTCGCAGAGATGTGAGTATCAAGAGGAACTCCAATCTCAACAGCCCTCCTGTACATGTACGCCAGGAGTACCTCAACAGCTTCACCTTCCAGCCGTGGGGCACCCCGATAGTTCAAATGTGCTAGCATATGGGCACAAATGGGGGCAACAAGGGCAGCCAGGCGCTTGGGATGATCAGCTAGGTCATCATCCTGTCTGATGTGTTTTTCGAAGAGCCCATTCAAGGAACTGAAGAGCCGTCGCCACATGGCCCCGACGCCGGCCTGTGTGCAAGACATTACGATCGAATAGCAGTTGATCTTATGGACGAGATGATGATGAAAAAGAGAGAGAGAAGTGAGGAGTTAGAGCTAGTTCGTTCATAAGAAGAGCGTTGATCTGTGTGACATTGATTTTGTTTGATGGAGGAATGTTGGCTTTATATGAGAAAGCTGATGTAAATGCTGACAGGCTCTTGACTTCTGGCTCTTCCAAAATGCTGGGAACCTTATCGATGGACGTCTCGACGTGTCTACGTATCGTGCAATTTCTGGTCAAGCTCCCACCTCTCAAGGTCAGAGAGGTTTAGCGGTTCCTCGTTTCCTAATATTGCCTGATCTAGCGATGATCGCAAACCCCTTCCAATTCGGTACGGAAATACCGCCTAGTCACACGTAGCCACCCTGCGCCTAGGTGTTCCAACATGGTCTTATTCAACGGAAATAGTGACTTAATATCCGGTTAAGTCATCTAGCTGCACCTATAAAGGCACCCATCAAGACCTAGCATGTAACAATAACGAAGAAAAAGATGATTAGCTGATATTTCAATCACTTGAGTTCTGGAAATGCAGTAATTATCTTTATTCAGATCTCATAATATTTGCTAGCCGCGATTTTGTTAATTCTGGGGGAGAAAGGTGAACATCGAAGCCCCTGGTCCGTAAATGCGTGGCCTGACTGTTCCTTCCTAAACTATCATGTCTTTGTAATGTACAGCATGCCTTCATTGACGGAGCAAGACGTAGCTTTTCATCGACAGATGCAGTCACGGAACTAAATTCTGCATTGTCCCTCTAGAGGACTGTTCAAGTTGCATTGAAGCCCCTTGTTTTCAACACGTCACGATTAGGGTTCTAGAGTCGCAGTGTATATGACCTTCAGGGAGGCAAGACGAGGATCCATCCGCATTGTGCAGTAAGCAGATGCCGTGATTAACAACCCACGCACGCAGGTAACCGACATATACGAGTAGATACCGCGATAGCAAAGACGGGTGAGGTCGTCATAAACGGTAGCTTTCTCATCCCTGTATAAAGATACTTCCAGTGCCGACAGGATCATCCTCAACGGCCGCTCCGTTACTATCACGACGTACGTCTCGCTAGTGCCGAAGCATGTTCGTGCCATCTTTTATCTAGCTATCACACAGCGCTATTAGTATATACCAGCCAGATAGCACTATAAGGTACTACGACTTTCCTCTCGTCTGATTCTTCTTAGTATATACGATTAAAATATAAGTGAATTCTTTATAAAGTTTTTAATAACTAAAAACTAATTTTTCTTATGAAATATTCTTATAAGTGCCTTATAGCTCTTTATTACGACCCAACGTGCATAACTAAGACCAGGGCCCGCCCCGCAGGCCCGCAGCGGCTACGGCGCACTATATATACGTTAGATAGAATAGATATATTATTTAAAAGAACGGAAGAACTATAGAATAAGTTATATATAAATAAAAAGGTGATTAAGTAATAAAGTAATTATAGTAATTACTCCGAGTAAGCGCTTACTAGGATCTACTTAGTGATTATTAATAAATAGAATATATATAAGATAAAGGATATATTTAAAAACGAGACTTATATATAATATAAACTTAAGCCGGGCTTAAAAATAGACTTTTTATAACTTCTTTAGTAATTAACTTAATATTAAATCTTATAATTACTTTTAGTTATTTTTATTAAAAACACTTTTTAATAAAACTATAATTAATTACTAAAGCTTTATTTATTTTATAATTTATAAATATAGCTTTAAAGAAGCTATTTATAATTATAATACTATTTATTTAGCTTTTATAGCCTTAACTTCTATTAATATACTTATTACGACTAGCTAGCCGTAACACTTTTATTAAATATTATATTAATATTAATCTTTTTTAATTAAGTCGTATGAAGACTTTATAATATTCTAAGAGTTAATTACTATTTTAAATCTAAATATTATTAAAGTATTTAAGTATTGAATTGCTATTTAAACTTAAAATTGTTATAATTAAGAGCGGCTTTTAAAAGAATAACTACTCTTTCTAATTAACTTTTAAAGCTTATATATTATATCTAGGTCATTAAATTAAAGAATATTAAAAAAGTTTAAAGTTTTAAAGTTATAACTATATTGCTTAACCAATAATTAATAACCTAGACTATTTTAAATAATATATATATAATCTACTTAGCATTATTTAAAGCTTTATAAATATAGAGTTAATCTTAATAAAATTATAAATTGTATAATATAGTAGTATAAAATAAGAAAAAGTATAAAAATTAGTTACAAAAGCTGGCTATAAAAGTAAAAAGCGGCCTTTAATTAGAAAATATTTAAAGTTTAATAGTACCGTAAAAGATTTTTTAAAAAGAGCTAAAAAGATCAATTTTATATTATTTTTATTTATATTGATGCTAACTTTTTTAAGCGTAGTATAGTTATATAAATAACTTAATAATTTAATTATAATAACTAATAAAAGCTAATAAAAAGAGTAATAAAAAGCCTTTATATAGAGTTATCATTATAAATATTATAAATACCTAAGCTTTATAAAATTGAGATCTAATAACGTAATATTAGGTTCAAAATAATACTCTAGAAAAAGCTTATGCTAGGAATAGATAAACACCGAGCCGTCGCCGTTGAAATATGAACCATATGTCCAAAATGGATCTCTCAACTTATTGTTAGACGCACTGGGACGATGCTCCATTAGGCTTCTACTAAATTCACTATACGGAAAGATATATGTGGACGTGTCGACACTCGGATTATCCAAGTCTCACGCAAAGTTAATGACGAAATTGGCTTACGCTGGGATAGTAAAGTCTCTTAAGGTACTCCTGGTCTGCCATCCAGACGGTGATTAGCGCAGACAAAATACCCAAAGTCTACATACTGCGCAGCTGGGATCAAGGAAAGCCCTAATTACTTAGTGCTTGTATGATGTGGCTTCTAGAACTAATAGGCTTCAATGAGGGGATCGAGCTATGCGTTTATATGAACGGCACAGTATCTCCTAACGCACGGATTAGCGTCCAAGCTTATATTCCTTGAGCCTGATAACCGAACCCTCCCTCGTAACTCACGAGGTAGCGCAGTCATAATCAGCTGATAGGAAGATCAATTACAAGCGCTTTAGTCTAACTCTGGGAGTACTGCTACCCTTGCCTAACATCGACTTGGCAAGACTATGAATATCTCGGATGGAAAGAGGTCAGCACAAAGTAATACATTGAGTGTCTCTTGCTTGGCCCACTTCCTGAGTGCTGCATGAATCGAGGATAGTCGGTGGATGTGATCTACAATTGCCGCTGCATAGCGAATACTGTTTTGAGAAGTAGTGCTGATGAACCCTGGCAGCAGCGGGTGGGACATGGGTCCCTCCATACAGGTCAGGCTGTCTAGGTTACTAGTGTACTGATGCGCAAGCGACTCTGCTTGAGCGTGCTTATGCGTGGGCGGCTCTGCTTGAGCGTAATCCTGCGCAAGCAAATTTGCTTGGGCGGCATGTAAGATTGGGCAGGCATGCCGAGGCAGTCTTCTGCGTCTGCAGCTACTCTACTGACAAATTTCATCAGGGTCATGCCTGCTCGGGTTGAGGCAGCCACAGTGCAAGCTCCCCATTCGACCCATATTTGGGGCAGAAATCCATCGCGTTGAAGGGTAGTGAGCACTCATGGGACCGTCGGGAAAGCGACCCCGCGCAGATTGTCTAGTTTCGGAGTCGCTCTAGGATGTGCTATACGATCTCCTCAGAATGGGAAAGCACCCACCGCGGGGTTGCAGGAACCATATCAGCTACAAGGTCCATCATTGCTAGCTCTTTGAAAGCTCGCGGTTGAATCGGGCATGTGCAAGGTTCGTGTTCACGCAATTAAACGCACTAACGGAGTATTAATGTTTACGTTGTGGTATTTGATTAGTTTGAGTATGCTATTTGGGTACTAATGTGATTATTCCGCGCTACTTTATAAATGATCGCAGGCCGATTCGCTCGGCTCTTATTTAACTTTTTTCGTTTGGGAGGAAGTAGGTTGTACCTAGGAAGCGCTCCGGTATGTTATCTATGGCCTTGTTCCGTGGTATGCTAAACTATGACCGATGTAACGAATTACATTATCAGCAGCCCTAGGCTCCTGAGGCCTGCAGAGGCTGCAAGGCTTATACTGGGGTATAGAATAATGGCGTTGCTTGGGGTAGTAAAGATAGGCGGTATAAGCTATCTTTCCGTGATCCGAATAGCTCGTTAGCTACTAGTACAAGGCGGCTGCCGTTGCTAAAGTTGAAACTTTTGGGCCTGGCGTTGGTAAGGTTTCAAGTATTATTGAACGGGCGCTTCAACTAAGATAAGCTAGAAAGAAAGTCAGTACTCTGACAGGCGGATAGGGCGCAAACAACAGTCTTGCCAAGAATAAACAAGCGTTGAGGTGCAGCAACGACGAAAACTGGTTGTCTAATCACCACCGTACGTAGCGTGCTTATCTATATGTCCTTCAGGCCAACCAGTGATACGTGGCCCACGGCAGGGTCTTGTATCTATGCTTTCCTCTGTCCTTTGGATAACTCGGCAAGCGCACTCCTCTTTCAACAAGAGCGGACGGCACATGGTCCAGTACGCATCGGCATCGAGACGGGGTGCCCTCCCTTCAAAAGCGAAAGCGTGGCTGACTAAGCTGGTAAAGCCGACAATCAGCATTAAAACCCCCTGTGCGTA